TCTGCTCTGTACTCAGTGTTCAGAAAGTTCATAAGGATATCTTTGTCTACGTTAACTTCTGTGCTCCACACTCAGAGAAAGTTTCCAATATGAAAAGTTATGTCTTTCCATTTGAGATATTTTCTGAGCTATTTTATTGATGGTTTTACCCCTCCATGTTTTTTTATGTTCTCTCTTTCTGAAACTCCTATTATTCAGATGTTAGACATCTTAGATACATCCTCAAATTTTCTTGTATACAACCTATTTCTACCTCTTTCTCCTTACTCCATTTTGCCTTGTTTTAGTTTTTATATGATTTTAAGTTTTGCAGTAGGATCTCTGTCCCATATTTCCTTTCCTTTTCTTTCTTTTTTCCCTAAGCCTTTAAAAAATGTAAAGCAGTTCTTAGCTTGTGGGCTGTATACAAAGAAGCCACAGGCAAGATTTAGCCTGCAGGCTGTAGTCTACTGGCCCCTGATCTAGACATCTTTTTTTGAGAGAGACAGAGAGAGTGTGAGCAGGGGAAGGGCAGAGATAGAGGGAGAGAGAGAATCCCAAGCAGGCTCCTCTCAGCCAGGGCACAGAGCCCAACACTTGAACTCATGAAACCGTGAGATCATGACCTGAGCCACAGTCAGATATTTAGCCAACCTTGCCACCCAGGTGCCCCTAGGCAACATCTTTAATATGAAAGATAGAGAACAATCAAAAGAACAATAAATAGAGCTAGGCCCTATAGGTTTAATGATGTTAAGACTAACAGGAAAAAAAGCTTTTTCCAGGGACCTGTTTCTCCCTAATCAACTATTGTTTCTTTTCAGACCCCACTAACAAATCCACTAGCCATCTCTGCAGAGACCTGAACTAACAGAAATGAAGGTCACCAATATGGCTCCAGCCCACGAATGAGCGAAGTCCTGCAGTCCTTATCCAAGACAAAAGCTCAAGACCCTATCCAGTTCATACCGGCTCCCAGATCCTGTACACAGCCCTCTCCTAGTCCTAAAATGACTTCCTGAAACCAGGGGCTGCATTTTGCCTCATTTGAATGTTAAGTCTTTACACCAAGGTGAATGTGGGATGTATGTTACACGTATGTTTGCTCAACGTGCATGTTCCATCCTTCCTCATTAATAGTCATAAGCTCCCCTGCCCTTTTCATCAGTATGTATATAATCCCAATCCCTGTGATTATAAAAACTTGTTCTGATCTCAGGTGGGTGAGACAGATTTGAGCCAGACTCCTGTCCCTTCATTTGGCTGGCTCTTGAACAAGCCCCTTCTTCACAGTGCACTCGGTGTCCTAATGATAGGTTTTGCTGAGCATCAGGCAAACGAACTGGTGTTTGGTTACATACATAGCACCCTGCCTTTCCGGTTCTGGTAACCATTCCTTTCCCTCAATTTTTCATTCTAGGAACAACTACAGTCCAAGAAGCAGTTGGTCTCTAATTACTGTACTTTCACTTGTGGTTCTTCTACAACCACACCTTTATAAACAGTCCCTTGGCATCTGATCATCTTACTTTGAGTGTGCATTCCTGTCGGCATCCTGATAAATACAGTCAACGTAGTACCCACTACTGGTACAAAAATCTGTATTAGTTTCCTGTTGCTGCTGTAACAAAAGACCGTTAATTTAAAGGCTTAAAACAACACAATTTACTCTCTTACAGTTCCCAGTGAGAAGTCTAAAATTGAGGTGTCCCAGACCATTGCTGGAGGTTTCAGGGTAGAATTCATTCCTTTGCTCTTCTTGGCCTCCGGGGGCCATCTGCGTTCCCTGGCTTATGCCCCTTCCTGTGTCACTGCAGTCTCTCGCTTCCCTTGTCGTGTCTCCTGCTACTCACTCTGACCCTCCTGTGTCCCTACTGTAAGGACCTTTGTGACTACATTGGACGCACCCAGATAATAAAGGACAATCTCTCCAACTCTAGATCCTTAACTTCAGGACATTTACAAAGGAACTCCATAGCAACAAGTAGATTAATGTTGGATTGAATAACTGAGGACCGTAGCCCAGCCAATTTTACCCATAAATTTATAATCACATAGTTCCAGAAAACTCAGAACTGGATTCTGGAGTTGGGAGGAACTCGGTCATATATTTGAAGAATGCAAGGATTCTTTTCTTATCCAGGCAGAAATGGGACACAGGTGATCTGAAAGTGTAAAAGGATCAGGATTACTCAAATCGTCATGGTAGGTGTATTCCATGGTCTGCAGATGGAGGGCAAGGTACCAGGACATCAAGTGTCTGTGTGACTATAGACATGGGGCTGATGATAAAGATCTCCCAACAGCCAGAGAGCGTAATGGCCAGAAATGGAAACTAAACAATAGAAACACAAATTCCAATTTGAACATGAACATGAATATGAGAACACAATTAAGAGCCTTCACAGGGAAGAACCTGAAAGTCCTCTGTGGTGACTTTGACTGAGCCCCTTAATCCCAATCACAGAGCAGACACAGCTACTCTGTAACTAAGCCAGAGTGCACTTGCAATATTAGCAGAATTATTGTTCCAAGCACATGCTTGACCTTTTCAGGGCTCTTTTGCTAAAATAAAGGCTCTGTTTGAGAAAAGCCGGACTATGAATCATAGAATGGGGACATTTGAGCAGAAATGGGTGAAGTTAAAAGCACATCTTTCAACTCCACTGAACTTCCCTTCTCTCCCTCCACCTCCCCCATTCTGAGGATAACTCCTCCTCTGCCTTCCAATATGCAAACCAATATGGATTCCAATATGAAATCCAATATGGATTCCTCAGCATTCCAATATGCAAACCAATATGGATTCTTCTCAGAACACACACCCTCTGCCTCTCATTGCCTCTAAGCCTTTATGAGTTACACTCTTATGAGTTACCCTTATGCGTTACACCCTCTAGTATCAAGATGTGAAGAGAAATGAGGCCTGCTCTAGAAAGAGGTAATGTGTGTACCAAAGGGTTAAAAAAGATTTAGCCAAACTTATTGACAGGGCCTGGGGCATACCTGGAAGGGTAGTCTAAAAATGTAACAATCAGCCTGTCTGAGTTCATTGACAGGGGTGCAATCTCATCTAGTATCTGGGAGTTACCAGGATGGTTTGAGCCTCTGTGAATAATAGTAAAAGTCTGTTCTGTTGGCACATTGAAAGTGTAAACTTAGTGATAGCCTATAGTTAATAATGTCAAAATGTGAGGACATCACCAGAACTCTGAATAGAAGGAATCTGGAGGTTTTTATAAATGGGTATTTCCTATGATTCTATTAGGGACAATTTGCTAGCCATCCTTATGAGCCATCCTGAAGAAATTCCACTACCAAGACATGAAATGCATTGCCAAAGGGACCGGCTGCATCTTTGAAGAGCCCTCTGGCTCTGTAGGCAGTGATAATAGTGGGAAATATTACAATGGGATTGGTTTACCTGAAACAATGGGGTTCTAGAATGATAGGGCCCAGGTGACAGTCCCTATCAGAGAACAGCTGGAGAGCATTGTCTGGTCTATGAATGAAGCCACATGTTACACAGGCCACAGCCAGAAGTGGCTGGGTTCCATCAAAGGGAAGCAGCTTTGGACCACCTGGAGCAGCGATCTTTGGGGACATGAAAACCTATACCCATCAGCCCATAGCTTAGAGCTTCCCATTCCGTCCACATCTAACCCATTTTATTGTTTCTTGAGACAACACACTTAGAACCATAACATTTTCATTCCTTGATCGCAGGACCCACACCACTGAAAGATACAACCAAAACCCTTGGAACAAGAAATCCTAGCCTCTAAGTACTGCCACTAATAGTTGCCAGTACCTGACTCAGTAAGACAACTGTAGGTGCAGGTATATATCTGGCAGCTCCCTTCACCTATGCTTACAGACCCAGCAGAGACTCCCAACATGGAACCAAAAATCTCCAGAGAAACCTTGGTGCTGTGAGCTTGGCAAATTACAGGGGGTGGAAAGAAAGGAAATGACAGCTCTGTGTAGCTTTTTCAAGCAATGAATCTCACTTGGTGCCTGCATACCCCAATCTAATCTAATCTACTTCTATTCACGGACTGTCTCCTACATATCTAAACTAAAGCCTCCATAAATCTCCTCTGCTCTCTGTTCATTTTTCCAGACTCCAAGTTTATGTCTCTGTTGTATCCTAGACTCACATCTAAGATTTGCTGCATGCTTTTGCCTTTTCTGGTTATGACTTTGGCTTCCTTTCTTTCTCTCTCTTTTCTTTCCTTTTCTCCCTTTCTCTCTCTCTCTCTCCCCACCCCCACCTTTCTTTTTCTTCCTTCCCTCCTTCCTTCCTTTCTTCCTTCTTTCCTCCTTCCTTCTCCCTCTCCCTCCTTCCCTCCCTTTCTTTCTTTCCTTCCTCCCTCCCTCCCTCCCTCCCTCCTTTCTTTCTTTCTTTCTTTCTTTCTTTCTTTCTTTCTTTCTTTCTTTCTCTCTCTCTCTCTCNTTCTTTCTTTCTTTCTTTCTTTCTTTCTTTCTTTCTTTCTTTCTCTCTCTCTCTCTCTCTCTCTCTCTCTCTCTCTCTCTCTCTTTCTTTCTTTTCTTTTCATGTAACTTAGGATGTCTGTTCAAGCTGATTTATGAGCTACTATCCCTGTCAGGTCTACCCTACAGACACCAGAATGTGTGCTCTATGCATGGATGATAACACACTTACTGGGCACATTTCAACCCAACTGGAAGGACTCAGACTATGTGAGCAATACTATACAGTCCAAAGAATATCATAAATAGAATCAGAAAACACAAGAATAAGGCATAACTGTGTGAGTTTATGTCTGTATAAACTTGAGTAAGTTACTAAAAATCCTGAGCTTTAGTTCTCCTGTTTCTAAAATGAAGCTGAACACTGATGAGAACTACCTTATAACTGAATTTCATAAGAATTAAATAAAATGAGAAAGTACTCAGTCTTTTTATGTTTGTATACATAGCAAACATTCTAAAAGAAACTGTTATTATCTCTGTATTTCTCTGCAATACACATGAAATAGTTTCCATTAGGACACAGCTCAGAAATTCTTTCTTTTATTGATATTTTCGTATTTAAATCATTCCACAAGTGCTTTGAAGCTGCTGAACTAAAATTCTAATTTTGGAAGCTGCTGTTTATTAACAGTGACATAACTCCAGATGAAGACGGAGGGAGATTCTAAGTCTTTACAGCCGACCAAGGACATCCCATGAATCACTTAAGGTTCTTTTGCACACCGATGATAAATCAGCAATGCGACAAAATTAGTAAGATAAACAGAATCCAACTCTTTCCTTCTTGTCCCTCTTACAGCTTCTCTTCTTGGCATTGAACTCAAGCAAATAGATTAAAGAGATGTTGACTATTTCACAGAAGTGAGAAGCTCTGACAGACTGTTGGAAATGTGTCACCACCTGCAGGCAAAATAGCCAGTGAACAGCAGTCTTATTTCCTAGAAAAAGCTCACTCTTCGATGTCAACACATGACCCAATCTGGGCCGCTCCATGCTTCTCTACAAATAATTTTAACTTTTGGATGGAAAAACATAGAAATTGAGCATTTTAGGAGCTGAGTCTTTTCAACAGCAATGTTCTCAAGGGAAATGCCACAAATTCTTACTTGTTAAGGTACCAGGATACTAGATTCCTGTCTTTCCCAAGGTCAAGGTTTGAACCTATAAGTTACCCTCATGTCCTTCCATAAACTATCTCTTTTTACTTCATCTAAATCAGGTTGTCTCTGTCATTCTGAGCCCCAGTAATTTTGAACAAATACACTAATACATTTGCTAAAATAAACAAACCATTAATTTCTGTAAAATATTTTGCTGTAAAACTACAAAATTGTTTTCTCTGTTTTGGCATTAAAATCCACCAGGGGGCAAAAAGGATTTCAGCTGAGTTTTCTCCAGTGCATGTAAAACAACCCAACACCATTCAGTCTATGCTGAATTTTCAATGCATAGCTACTTCTATTTTAATCAAACAAAATAGTCATTATTAAATATTTTAGAAGAGGCATAAACTGATTATTGAGCCTTAGGTAGACATGTTTTCAAGTTTTCTTTTTAAGTAAAATTTTGGAAAAATCACTTACACAGACAAAAATATTTTTAAATAAAATAGAGCACATCCCTAATGTAGCCCTACGAAGGCTACATTATCACCAAATAAAATGAGTCTATTGGTACCATACTAATTAATGTAAATCAAGATATAATTATGTAAAAAATGCAGAAAGATACAAATCAACTCTCAGAATGATCGTGCTGGGCAAGCAAATGACAAATAATTTGTCTTGATTTTCCTATTTTTCCCATTTTCCTGAAATGCATTTAATTTATTTTAAATTATTTCAATAATAAAGAATTAAAATTAAGTTTTAAAACAGAATCTATAGAGATGTTCCTAAATTTTAAGAGCACACAAAACAAAATAAAGATTGTTTTATAATAGAAAACATTATTGGGGCGCTTGGGTATCTCAGTCAGCTGAACATTCAACTTCAGTTCAGGTCATGATCTCACAGTTCGTGAGTTTGAACCCTGAATCTTATGGTTCGTGAGTTTGAGCCTTCTGATCCTCTGTCCCCCCATCTCTGCCCCTTCCTCGCTCACACTTACTCTCCGAAATAAACATTAAAAAAAGTTATCTGTTTCTTTAGTCTAAAATTATCTTATTGAAGAAAAGTCAAAATAGTTATAGCAAACTTACCTCCCATGAGGGCTTCAATCCAATTGATGGTAGGGACTAGAAAATGTGAGGATAGATGTGGAAGTCTTCCCAGAGAAGGTAAAATCTCTAAGACTGGAAAGATAAGCTACAGCCAGGCAAACTGGTGGGACACTAAACACTAAATTTATGAAAAAATACCAATAAATGTTCATCACAGTTAATTTTTATGTTTACTTATTTTTGAGAGAGACAGACGGTGAACAGGACCGGAGCAGAGAGAGAGGGAGACACAGAATCTGAAGCAGGCTCCAGGCTCTGAGCTGTCAGCACAGAGTCAGATGCGGGGCTCAAACCCACGAACCGTGAGATCATGACCTGAGCTAAAGTTGGACGCTTAACTGACTGAGCCACCCAGGCACCCCTAAAGTAACTTTTAAAGAAAAGCCTCTAATAAATTTTGAAGGAAGTTTACTTTTATTTTCTGGAGTGGAACATTTAATCATCAGTCAAGATACACAACTTTTAGGAGCTTCCCTTTACACATCTGGAGCCTCTTCTTCCATCTTGGCTCAGATGATCCACCCACTTGCCACATGCTGAAGAGAGGTGATGTCACCCCTGAGCAACAACAGGAATTCGAGCCTCTGCGGTGTATGTTTCCTATAAAGAATCTGTTTGGGTTTCCCAACTGATGTTTTATGGTCTAGACAACCATTTGAAACAAATGATATTATCTGCTTTGGCCAAAGGAAAGTGGCAAGTTTCAGAGGGGTTTCAGTGATGCTTTGTGTGCACATGACTCTCAACATAAAATTGTTGATCATAACAAGAGATGGTTCGAACACAAGGCTGTCTCTCAGTTTGGAGCAGACAATTATGGAACACAAAAGTTTTGTAACAAGAATCAACTGTAGCTATGTAGAGGGCTGTTTTTTCCTTTTGTAACACCTATGCTGTCTGGGGGAAGTGACTTGTGTCAGCCCTGGGATCACTCGGGCAGGGCAAACCTGAGACCAACGTCTAGTCAGAAGTTCACGGCATTATTTAGGGGCCTGATGACGAACACCTAAGACCATAATGTTGGGTGTAATGCCTACGATACATCAGGGATGTTTCACTTTGTTTATTTAATGCTATGTTGTGCCTATAAGCACTTTAATCTCAGCTGATTTGTTTCTCTGAGAGGTGGTTGCTGTTTTTATCCCAATGCAGACGAGACAACAGAGGCACCAGAGGTTTGATGACTTGTCCAAGGTCATAAAATCCGTAATAATTTCCTAGTTCAAACAGTTATCCAGGGGCACCTGGGTGGCTCAGTTGGTTAAGTGTCTGACTTTGGCTCAGGTCATGATCTCACATTTCATGAGTTCGAGCCCCGCATCAGGCTCTGGACTGACAGCTCAGAACCCGGAGCCTGCTTTGAATTCTGTATGTCTCCCTCTCTCTGCCCCTCCCCCATTTCCTCTCTCTCTCTCTCTCTCTCTCTCTCTCTCCTCTCAAAAATATGCATTAAAATTTTTTTTATAAAGTTATCCAGAAAATTCATATGACAAACATGTATTAACTTTTGGCTTTGCCTGAATGCCTACTGTGAACCTTAATGTTTTCTCTCTGGTTCCAGAACCCTTCACCTTTCACCTCCTGCAAAGCCCGCCATACTGATTTGTGCATCTCTCCATGTTTACACAGGACCAAACCTCTCCTATCTTAGCAAAAACGCCTTGGGGCTCGCATTTCCTCCAACCACGCCTTCCCTCTCCCTTCAGCCAGCCAGAGGCATTAAGCTTTAGGATCAATACTTTACATTTCAGGGCCTCCACTTCCCTACCCCCATCATGCCACAACCCATTACCCTAAAGCCTTTGTCCCCAGACTCACTGATGTTGCCAACTCCAAGGCCATCTCCATTCCCCTAAGCCTGTGGGAGGCTTTTTTTTTTTTGCATCTCATGCTATAATGCGCTGTCCAAGGCTTCCGTGGCATCAGTGATTCTTAACTTAGCAGGGTGTCATGGATCTTTCTACAATTCAACGAAAGCCATGGATCCTTTCCTAAGAAAAATGAAGCAGGGCTCATCTAAAATACAAGTTATATGTGTAGATATGCATCTGAGTGTGTGTGATCCATTCACTTTCAGAAGGGATTCACAGATCGCCTGCCAACGTAATATGGGAGATGACGAACTTCTCATCTGAATTCTGATGACTTTTTTGCAACTGCTCTGACGCCACTCTGACCTGTATGCTCCACAGGCCCTGCAACGGCCTCCTCTCCGCACGTAGTTTCACTCCCTCACAACACTATTTTTGCCCTCCTGTGTGTCTATATGTCAAAAGACACCAAATAGCACATAAATGTCAAAGACAGATTCTCCTCAAGGCTGTAGCCTGAGCTAAGGTCCTAACATGTGTCCGAGGCCACTTCACAAAATGTGGACCTGTGACTTTGAACAGAGCTTTCACCAGGCGGTTAGGGAATGTTCTAGCATTCTGGACACCCACTCATCATGGGAAGCTCAAAAAGTTTTTGAAAAAGTATTTGTCTTCCTTTTTGTTTTGTGATAGAACTGAAGAAACCTGTCTGGACACAGCCTTTGTTCAGGGGAGGGATTAGCTCCTTGTTGAAGGTTAGTCTTCCCACCGTGTGGGCTCTGTCTCTCAGCTACAATCATTCATCAGGGCTGGTATCGGGCCTTATAACTGCTGCTGCTCCAGAGCCCACAAGTAAGAACAAGCAGCTGCTCCATTACACTGAGAAAGAAGGTCGCCCTGGGACTAACTGACCACTCACTCAAATATATTTTTAACACCAACCTCCCTATGTGCAGTAGGGAACACTTCACTGACCAGAGGCAGACAGGTGGATAGAATAATTTCTGTGCCTCCACCTGTTCTCCCTCTCTCTCCTTCCCCCTCCACCCCACCTCCCCCGCCCATTATCGGCACAGGCTGAAGGAGCTGAAGACCGTCGCCTCTGTCAAGGATCAAGAGGCATCTCAGGGCACTTTGAGAGATGTGGACATATGCTTTGCCTTGCCCAGGGTTACACAGCATGGATCCTAGGAGAAACTCCCGGAAACAGGATATTAGGGGACTTCCAGGGCAAAGTCAAGGTGAAACTCACCAACTTGTCACTAAATCTCCATTGGGACCAGATAGAAGGGGGAGCCAAGATTCTTCAAAGAGGATAAAAGGAAATCAGACTGAAGAAACTCCCAAGTTAGAATGTCCATCAGATGTCAAAAACATAGCAGTTCATGAGCCAACCAGGTCACAAACTTTTTTATTTGGCTGGCATAATATATTAACATCTTTCTCATTCAATGTCAATATTTGTAAGTTGAGATATTTTACATCAAAGTCCAGATTCCAGAATTCTCAGAAAAATCAAAAGGAGGCGACTAATATGGCGGCACCAGCCTGACCTGACACCCACCACTCCTGTCAGATCGAACACCAGTCACTTGTCCCCGTGGCCCATTCGAATTATTTGTATTAGTCGCCTGGCCACGCAGGCATTTGATTTTCCGTGCCCCGGGTTAAATGGCTCTCCCGGTTTTAATACTGTGTTCATGCCTGTGAGCTGAAAAACTTGAAGCAGTTATGAAGGGGAAATGAGGCAGCTGACTTGTCCTGCGGATTTTGCACAAGATTATTGCATAACTAGACGACCCACTCAATAGTGTTGGATAAATCACTGCTTTTTATTACAAATTAAAATATTTTCTTAATCTCATTTGTGGGACTATGAGATACCCTTATTTTTTATTACATAAAGCACCTACTAAGAACCAGTCACTTTTCTAGGCTCTAGAAATACTTCCGAAGATAGGTGATCCTCTTTTAGAACTTATTTATTGGGGAGAGATGGGTAAGAAACTAACAAATACCATTATTGCATAGAGTGATGACTGATAGGAGACAAATTAAGCAAAGGAGTGTGGGGAAGGGCTACTCCAGACAGGGCTAGATTTTCTAACCAAGTAACCATTTTTAATAAGACACATACACCCACTCCATTCCACCCCTCCCCCCAAAATCACACATGCTGCCTGTCTTCTAAATGCTCTCAAGGGCTAGTATTAGTACTGCATCTTGCCTTTCAAAGCAAAGGATGTACAATAGAAGGTGAAATGGAAGGTCAAGTAATTATCAGATAGTTCAGAGTCCTGGCTATCTGCTGAAACCACTGGGTGACTAGTTGAGAACAGACAATGTAATTGCCCTGGCTCTCAGTGCAGAAATAAACATTGTTAACCTCCGGCTTACTACTTAAGCAATGAGATTATTTCTGCAAGGCGTGGATGTTACTTTGCTACTGAGTAACCATGAGGATTCTACCCTAGCCATCTTTCTGGCACTTATTTCCCCATGTAAGAAAATTTTCTCTATGAAGACAGATTAAAGATCTCTTAATTCATTACTCTCTCAAGCTCTCCCTATTGAGTTTACTATAATGAGCAAATGAGTAGCCTTCAATGAAACAAATCTGTTTTTAACTGGAGAAATTTGTAATCAATCCCCATAGGCTTTACATATAAATAGATCATATAGAATACATTTCTGAGGTACAGTAATCATCTCTGGGAATGCTTACTATCTAACTTAAGAGAACTCCATCTGAAATAATTTGCCTTACAGAAACCATACTCATCATGAAGCCTCTTTAGGCAATTTTTTTTTTCAGTCAAATATGTCTTACCATTAAGTTCTTACTTGTCAATATTCAATAGCCTCTTCAGGTTTACAAAAATAGCCCTCCAACCATCGGATGCCTGCCTGGGTGGCTCAGTCGGTTAAGCGTACAACTTCAGTTCAGGTCATGATCTCATGGTTCAGGCTATTTAGCCCTGCATCAAACTGTCTGCTGTCAGCACAGAGCCTGCTTTGGATTCTCTTGTCTCCCTCTCTCTGCCCCTCCCCAACCCCTCAAACATAAATAAACATTTTAAAAAATAGCACTACAGCTCTTAGATAGTTATGAGCAAAAGCTACTTCATTTTTGCAAATGTTGTAAATACCATCATTGCTGTGTTAAGTGCAATGAACTAAAAATGTGGTATTCTTATTCTTTACTACAAGTTATTGCAAACTTCCATTCCACTTCCTCTTAGGTTTTTTTTTTTAATTTTTTAATGTTTTATTTATTTCTGAGAGAGGGAGACACACACACAGTGTGAGCAGGGGAGGGTCAGAGAGAGAGAGAGACACAGAATCTGAAACAGGCTCCAGGCTCTGAGCTGTCAGCACAGAGCCCGACACGGGGCTCGAATCCATTAACCATGAGATCATGACCTGAACTGAAGTAGGACGCTTAACCGACTGAGCCACCCAGGTGCCCCTCCTCTTAGGTTTTTTACATGTAATTATTTGTCTTTGCCCATAAGCCAAAATAAATAACACTGAAATTGAAAATGTAGCTTCACAGTGTTCCTGAATATTGGGCCAAGGGCATTTTTGAGCTTGTTTCTCTGATGGATAAAGGAGTATACATGTTTACAGACACAGACAGGATACACTCCATTATGGGAGAGATCAAAGGTGCTGCAAAATAAAAGCGATGGCTAGTACAGACATGCTTTTGTCCCTGATGTCAACGTAACGTAACAGTGAGCGAGCAGTGCTGAGGCAATGACTGTACTGACTATGCCCTGATAAACCACTCAGGCTGTGTCTACTTTAAAAGAATGGGGGGTTTCTATCATTTTATTGTAGGGTTCTCCTTCTTACATTGTTGTTTTTACATGAAGCTGTTTTAAACCAGAAAGTGATACCGGCTAGCTCAGTCAATGGAGTGTGCAACTCTTGATTTTGGGGTCATGAGTTTAAACCCCACAGTGCATGAAAAGATTACTTAAAAAAAAAAAATTCCAAAGAGAGCATCCAGGCAAGCCATATATTCTCCTAACTCCATGGCACATGTCTCTCCTCGTTTTCTTTATGACAGCAGTACCATATGTCCAAACTGTAAAAAGACGGGAATTTCTCAGAAGACTAGTTAGCAGTTTAGAAAATACATATTTTTACATATATATACATATATATATGTAGTAACCACACCCAATAGTATAACTTCTGCTACAAATATGTTCAATTCAAAGAAAAGCAACACAGAGTTTTCATATTTCAGTTTTAATAGAATTCATATTTCAAATTAGTGCACTTAAAGACAAAATCTGAATAAATGTATTTAAATATTATTTAAAAGAATTGTAAAAGTGGACTTCATACATGATTATTCAACAAATATATTACTTAAATCATTTCTCACTGGTACTCTCAGACATAAATTATATAATTAAATACTTAATTCACACCTATATGGGATATTAACCATATAAGAAAATAATACAATAAAAATAAAAGAATAGCATATTTTTTAAGATTCTATTTACATTGTGTGATTTAAACTTTGTTTTAAAATATTTTGAATACTCTATACACAAAGATAAACCAAGAAAGACTGCATTGCGTGGAAGGACACGCTAATCAGTTATTTCTGAGAAGTCTCTTATTTTAGTCATCTTAATACATCATAAAATTAGATATTTCATCTCTTTATACAGTTAATATGATTCCAGGCACTTTTTTCTTCACATTTGATTTACATTCACAAGCAATGCCTGTCAGGGAGAAGAAGAAAAATGTCATTTATAATCTGATTTTTAATATACTTAAAAATATGTATAGTTTTAATGTAGTTATATCTTATTTTATTTGCTTGAAGAATCTGTGGGCTCAATGTATAATCTAATCCTTAGGATATAGGCTAATGTGTGTTTGGAAGGGGAGAAGGGTCAGTCAGTACTTTTAGATACTTTAAATCATGACTTCCCCACTAAAGTGTTATGATATCTAAATAAACTGAAAAATGAACTTGGCATCATCTAAATAACTCATAAGAATTCCAAAAATGTATTAGTCTATAATACTGTGTTTCTAATACCTTGTTAAATAAATAATGAGAAACACATACTCCTATAGAGGAAATCACTAAATCTCTAAACTCTGTCATTTACAAGGGATGTATTTATCAGCTCTGTATTCCATGAATCTAGTACCAGGAGAAGTAAGTTGGCATGCAATATTTGGTATTACAGCACAATACTTGTTTTTTGAGAACTTTTGCGGATATTATGCTGTTTTTGGACTTTATGATTATTTACTCGTTCACATAAAATATATTAAAACCAAGAAAGAGTAAATGTGGCTTCATTTAGGTAATTTCAATAGCCTCATAAATTCTCTTTATTTGTTCATGCTTTACATTATACAAAGGGTTTGAGATAGATTGAGAGTAATTCAAGCATCTTGCCACTGAATGCTACAACGATCTAGCTCATTATCTTAATCTAAGAGAATTTTTAAAATTTAGCAACTGTAAATATGCAGAATTAAGAGTGCCCATTATTATTAATTTATAACTCCTATTTATTTATTTATTTATTTATTGCTTATTTATTTTTGAGAGAGAGACAGAGTGCAAGCAGGTGAGGGGCAGAGAGAGAGAATCTGAAGCAGGCTCCAGGCTCTAAGCTGTCAGCACAGAGCTGGACACAGGGCTTTAACTCAAGAACTGTGAGATCATGACCTGAGCCAAAGTCGGACACTCAAGACTGAGCCACCCAGGTGCCCCTATAATTGCTTTTTTTTTTAATTTATTTTTAATTTTTTTAATGTTTTATTTATTTCTGAGAGAGGGAGAGAGACAGCATGAGCAGGGGAGGGTCAGAGAGAGAGGGAGACACAGAATCCGAAACAGGTTCCAGGCCCTGAGCTGGCTGTCAGCACAGAGCTCAATGTGGGGCTCTAACCCATGAGCTGTGAGATCATGACCTGAGCCAAAGCCGGACGCTTAACCGACTGAGCCACCCAGGCGCCCCTATAATTGTTTTTTAAAGAATAAAAATAGCAACAACAAGTCAGGATTGTCTTAGTAACTGGCACAAAAAACCTGTGAGATGAGTTCGTTGGGGTAGATTAAGTCACATAGGCCAGATGGAGATATTCGTAGATACTTCTAGACTACATATACTCCATGACTTCCATTTCTACCCTCACAAGTTATGAAACTAGTGTCTTTAAAGGGACTTGTCCGTGGTACTGAAACACTGAGCCCACAGATATGTTGGCTTTGATCTGCACTGGGAAAGAACTACAGAGTAAAAAGATCTCTGCAAAAAATGAGTATCTTTCTTTTGTAAATAAATATTAAAATTTTTCATCAGATTTATTTAGGTTATCCAAATATTTTATTGCCCTTGAGCTCCTTGTAATTTCATTCTGGGTAATTTAGCCAGAATGAAAATTCTGACTTAGCATTTCACTCTGGCAAAGTACATGCTAGAGCAGATGATGATGTTCATTATGTTTCTGATCCTTCACTTTTTCTTTTATTCTTCCAATACTTTCTCTGTTCTTCTTACCTATCCTGCATAAACCAAAATTTTAGGACCTAGTGCTACTTTTATTGTATCATTTGAACAGTTTAAAAAAAATAGAGCTTTAAATAATTTTGTCCATCTAATGTCTATCTGCATAAGGTTTCTGCACAAAAATAATATAACCCCCAAAATTGAAATATTGTTAAAAATCACTCAGGACTGGTAAGGCTGCTAGAAAGCTGTTTACCTTACTTAATTTAATCACTGTTGAGGGTCTTTGTAATGAACTCAAGAAAGCAGTCTGTGCCTTTTGACCAAACTTTAACATTAAGTGAACAATCCACAGATTAGGTTCATTATGTGCTGTTAACACCAGCTATCTGGCTTTTTAAATTGTTCAACATATCTTAAGAAAGTCAGCCTATTAAGCAGAATAAGAAAAATAAATAAATACATACTCATAGGGCAGGTCTTCTAGTCTGCGAGCACAGGGGACTCACTGCCAATCTTGTGAGCAATCTAGCACATCTCTTGTAATCTAGGGAAATTTAAAGGTTAATTATGTATATAGTTCCTACAAGTGTCAAGAAAACAATGCTATTATTGTCACTAATTAACAATGAGAGCTACAGTTTAATAAGCATCCAACACAATGAATGTTTAACCTGGGTCTTCTCATTAATTCTCCTCATAACACAATCAGGGAGATGTTACTGTTGTTTCACTGAAGAGACAAAGATGAAAACCCAGCATCCAAATGTCAAGAATCTATCTCGTAACCAGCAGGCAGCCTAAGTCCAAAGAGCAAGCGTCCCCCACTATGCCATGTTACCACTCAGTTTGCTTTGATTCCAGTATGATTCATTTCCCCGAGTCATTGAACACAAGCAGTTTTCGAAAAAAATTATAAAAACTCTGACTCAGCCACCTGAGTAAAACTGAATATTCCTTGGGATGACCAACCTAGTTAAGAAGAAGCAAAATGCTTAAAATTCATTTGCCTAAAAAGGGAAGTTTAGGTTTAGAAAGGAATTTAAGAACAGCTGAATTACCCCTACATGGGCATGATTTAGGCAGTTTCAATGACAGCATTTAAAATCTTATGTTTGAAATGGCTGCTAACTTAAGTAACTTAAGGGTCCAAAAGACTTGATTAGAGTGGCCCTTAAAACACTAGGCTACCACTGTTCAGAACAGTCTAGCACTCGTGTAAATGATACGACATGAAACTGTTTAAAATAACTTATGAGGAAATTTTGACTTCTACTTCACGATCATCCAATTTTTGTTCTTCATTTATATGACAAAGCACTTTATGCCAAGGAATTTGAAACATGATAAAAGGTTTAAATCCCCAACAAACATTTCATTCCATAAGGAAATCTGGCTATTTTCGGATTTGGATATAGTCCCAATTACGATGCAGTTCTGTTCCTGACACCATCAACAGTACACACAAACGTTCATTCAAGTCCTGTCAATGTTATAAATAGCATCTCCTACAATGTTTAGTCTATTTCCAGCTACAGACTGTTGAAGTTTAAAATTACACACATTTACTGTCAGATACGGACTTTTTCTAAAAGAAAAAATATCTATCCAAACTACTTACAAGCTGGTGTTGAGCAATCCCTGGTATTGTGATAGAGTCGATGGAAATGTATGCTACATTCGGCTGAAAATGTGATTGGCCCTGTGGGACAAGAAAAGAATGTTTATGATAAACAGAGGCGTGTTTTCCAAACAAACTTGCTAGCGTTTATGGATGGTGATATTACAACTGTAGCTTAACATCCTTCTATGCCCTTAAAAGAACTTGTCTGAGAGCACTTCTTACCCTGGCTCCATGGGAAGCAGGAAGATGTAATCTGTGGGAAATCATCTACAGTCATTATCAGTTCTCAACATTTCACATAATGGAACCCTCTGTTCCTTAAGAACTCTTTAGAATAATTAAGAGGGGAAAAGCGCTAGACAGAAAAAAAAAAAATCTCTAGAAAGCAAATCAAGAGGATGTGAAAAGCAAAAAATAAATATCCTTGGTCCCCACTTTCTGGTCTTCAGTTTATTTAATAGGAATTAATGTTTATATGCAGAGACCCTTATTCTATTTTCCAATTAGAGTAATTTGAGTCTTAGTAGTGTCAAGGACTATTGTAAAGTGAACAAGGCCTTGAGACTTCCTTGTCTTTCCCACAAGTCCCAGACAGTCCCCACCAAAACTCACCTTTATATCTGGAATCTGATATTTTGGAAGTGGTAGAAGGGCCCACAGTGTGTGAACAGAGTGCCTAGAAACACTACTGGGAAATTCCTTACACCTGCTGGGCTTCAGGTGGGTCTTGACTTGATGCTCACAATCATTGTTCCGATGTTAATTAACAAATATGGCCACTGGCTTTGGTTAAGTGGGAAAACTGTATCTTTCCCAGCTTATAGGCCTGAGATGTGAAACAATAAAGGGTGGCTGGGATGATTAGGGACAGCCAGGCAAGAGCAACGGTCAAGATGGGAGTGCTTGGCTCAAAATAATTTAGTGATTTGCTAGAACTTGAGGCATAGGATGATTTCCAATGATTTCACAAAGTTGATATGAAGAACAAAACAGTGTCATGAGAGAGTATTTCATGCTTAAGGGATGGTGTGTGAAAATCTGTCTTTCCCCTATTCAAAAAAACCTCTATTCCCCTGTTAGCTGGAGATCCCCATCTAAATTCCTTACATTCCATTTAGGACCCTTCACAGTAGGATTCTAACCTCTGTTTTCAGCCATACTTCTGCCCAGTGGCCATACACACCCTTACCTAACCTTACCCCACAGTGCATCCACACCATCCCCTATCTTGCCCCCGGAACTACCATGTTCTCAAAGAATTCCTTCTGACCAGAATGCTTTTCTCATCCAGGAAAATGCTATTCATCCCTTAGAGCACAACTTACATACAGCATATACCATGCCTATCCTGCTAGTTTTTAGCAAAATTACTCACTTTCTGTGTATCCCTAAAACTGTATCTACACTTCTATTATTTACCAAGATCTGGATTATATTACCATTAATACAAGTTAATGGCATTTGTCCTCTTCCCTCACGAGACCCCTGAGCTCCTTACAGACATGTGTCCTCATATGTAAAGTGCCTAACAGTAATTTGCACACAATCTTTTCATTTGAGTCCCTGATGAATTTTGTGCTTACCTGTGAAATGCTTTATCAATTTGTCTTTCAAGTTCGAATCTCGTAGGAACATTTCTGAAAAAAGAAAGCAATTTAGAATTTCTTGGATGCATTTCCACCATTAAAAATGTCCTTACAATAGGCTACAATGACAGGCACCTGACACATGAACTCATGGCAGTTCCTGCAGCCGATTCCAAATCTCTATCTCTAGCCCCGACCGGTCCCTAGGGGCTCCAGACCTCTCCTAGAGCTACCTGCTTGCTCTATCGCTCTCTTCAGGAAACTTACAGACCCCTCAAAAGTGCACAGCCAGAACGGAACGTCTGACTTCCCTGCTATCCCAGACTCATTCCTCCCCCATGTTCCCTGGTCTCATGCATGGCATCACTCTTTGCTCTTTGTTCAAGAAGATATCAAGATATCAAGAGGATATACCTGACTTTTCTCTTTCCCTCTACTATATACAATCCATTGCATAATTTTATATAGTCCACCTCCAAAAGTTATCTAAGACCCATCCACTTGTATTTCCTCTCATTAATACGAGACTGGTCCAGGCCATCATATTTTCATGACTCTACCCGGACGGCAGCCTCCTGATGGGTCTTCCCCTTCCTACAACCCATTCTCCCCATCCCAGCCAGAACAAATGAACTGAAATGTTCTCCAGGCCATGATATCTCCCACTTAAAGGGCTTTGGACTTTAGTGGTTTTTTAAGTTTTATTTTATTTATTTATTTTGAGAGAGAGAGAGAAAGCGCAAGCAGGGGAGGGGCAGAGAGAGAGGAGTGAGTGAGAATCCCAAGCAGGCTCTGTGCAGAGCCGGATGCAGGGCTCGAACACACAAACCATGAGATCATGACCTGAGCCGAAGCCAGACGCTCAATCAACTGAGCCACATAGGCGCCCCAAGGGCTTTTCACTTTAAATAAGTGAAAATAAAAACTCAAAGTACATCCCACCCTTCACCTTGTATTTGCTATAAATACACTACTCAGAAAATACTATTTATAAAAACAATTTGGGAGTACATGCAAGTCTTTTAGACAAAAAGAAAACTGACACATTAATAAAATCTTGAACCTAATATGTGTTGGCAGTTACAGACTTAAACTCTCAGTGTCCTTATGACAGATTGATACCTATGCACATCAAACATCATATGAGTCTAATGGGAGTGTGAATGCTTGTCATCTCCCCATAAGCGAGTCGAATGGCCACAATGATTTGTGTGACCTTGTTGAGACAGGTACTGTAAAATGAAGACATGGGGATTCTAACAGCCCTTTACAGCCTACAGTTAATGGGGTGGGGGGGGGGGAGGGTAAGAGCCCTTCCTGGGATAGGCAGCTCCCTGCTCCTGGCAGCCCATTGTAAGCCCAGAGCAGCAGAGCAGCATTGTCAGGGCCCTCCGTAGGCATGCGGCTGGATTGGAGCTCCCCTCCCCCACTGGCAACAAACATCTACACTTTATAGACAATCCAAATAAATCCAGAAAAACAAAGCAACCGTGAAGATGGAGGTATTTCTTTATATAAATATTTCGGTGTTCTCATCCATTATACTCCAGCTTGCACCTGGGTCCTTCCTCCATCTCTCTCTGCAGCCCAGCATGGCAAATTGGCTCTTGTGGTGTACATATTCCATGTTTTATCTGGCAAAGTAGCTCCTCTGGCCCTTTCTCAAAGCTGAGCCAGTTGAGTGCAGTACTTTGGTGAAAGTGTGTTCAGAGACCAGAATAAGTCCAGTTCCAAAAGTATATTCCATGATAATTTTAACATGTAGACCTGGCATTCAGGTTTGGAAGGTATACGTTTTAATTTTTTTTAATATTTATTTATTTTTGAGACAGAGACAGAGTGCAAGTGGGGGAGGGGCACAGAGAGAGGGAGACACAAAATCTAAAGCAGGTTCCAGGCTCTAAGCTGTCAGCACAGAGCCTGATGGGGGCTCGAACTCACAAGCCATGAGATCATGCATGACCTGAGCTGAAGTTGGACACTTAACCAATGGAGCCACCCGGGTACCCCTGGAAGGTACACATTTGAAATAAATTACACCCTCTTCTACACCGCCATTGCACACTTTCTAACTTCTATAAAGGAAATTGTCACAGTCTGATTAGCATAACAGTGAACTGTGCACCTGTCTGTCCCTACCACAACATCATGGGCTTTTAGTTATTTAAGTTCATTAATTTATTTTGAGAGAGAGACAGAGAGGGCAAGGAGGGGAGGAGCAGAGAGAAAGGGAGAGAGAGAGTCCCAACCAGGCTCTGCACTGTCAGTGTGGACCCTGACTCAGGGCTCAAACCCATGAACTGTGAGATCATGACCTGAGCAGAAACCAAGAGTCAGATCCTTAACTGACTGAGCCACCCAGGTGCCCCTGTCTTGTACCTACGTCTATATGTTTCATATATATGTACCTATATGTTTCATATAATTATGAAAAACAATCATGAAAAGTTTAACCAATACAAATTACTATTTCAAAAATAAATGTATTATTGGATTGTACAGAACTCTAAATAAAAGCTCGCAGTTGGTATATTTATTTGCATCCCCACACGCACCGCACACAACATTCTCACTAGGCCCACCTTCAGGACACTAAGTGAAGTCTGTTGCCTACACTGACCTTCTTATCACCACCAGTAATGAAAAGGCCCAAAGCAAGGAATAGGGTGGAAACCAAGAGTCAGACACTTAACCGACACTCAGGTGCCCCTTGTGGGCTTCTTAAGAAAAGAGACAATGTCTTATTCATCTGTTATCACCTGCAGGGTGTATGACAGTGCTTTGTGGACAGAATATCTAGAAAATGTTTAAGGAATTAAAAGCTGAGAAGATGATCCCTCAAGTAGGTTGCTACCTTTGAAATGAAAACAATCAATGCTTCACTTGAGCTCAGTCTAGGCCACCAAGAAAACCATACTTTGAATACATGGAAATTTTCATTTCAAAGTACAAACATAATATAGCAACATGTAGCAGATTGACTTAAATAAAACATAGAAGTGTTGACCCCGCGAGTGCTAAGCAAGAGCTATCCAGGTAAGAAGAGATGGGAAGAGCATCCTAGAACAACAAACCAAGGATGTATCCAGTAAGAGAAAGACTGACATGTGTCTCCTGGCAGACGAGTAGAGAATGGAGGGCCAGCCAGCACCCAGGCAAAGTGGGTGAAGAAGGTGACATCATGCCTTTCTAGTTCCCGTATTTCTTTTCTTTATAAATTTTTTTTTATGTTTTATTTATTTCTGAGAGAGAGAGAGACAGTGTGAGCAGGGTAGGGTCAGAGAGAGAGGGAGACACAGAATCTGAAACAGGTTCCAGGCTCTGAGCTGTCAGCACAGAGCCCAAAGCAGGGCTTGAACCCACTGATGCTCTAACATCTGAGGCCTTGCTGGTGCTGTAGAGACGGGCCCTCTCAGAGCTAGCCAGTGGTTCCCAGAGAAAGGAAAGCCTGCAAACCCACCTTTCCTTTCCAAACTCACCAGTCCAGCCCACCCACCCCCCTATGGCCTCCCTCAGCCAGTTCTCATACTCAAGGCCAACATTCTTCCGCCCTAATACCCCGGGGCCAGGAGCCAGACAGCTATACACCACCCTACACTCCAGAGCCCACTGTAATTGGTTCACCTAGCAGGTTCTAAACTCTCACTCTCCTTAACTTTCTCAAAGAGACCACTGATAAAGGCTCTTGCTCTTTCTCCTCATTCACTCTGCTGTGACCAAGTCTGATGCGTCTCTGTTGGAGCCGAGAGGCATTGTATGCCTCCTGTTTTTAGGGCACTGTGAGCAAAACTTCTTCCTTCACAACACTCATTTCCAGGTCTTGACACCTGATTGAAACAAATCCCACGTACACCTTAAACCATGAGTGGTGGTAGATACAGACATAGTTTGAAAATATTACAGGTTCAGTTTCAGATCACTACAATAAAGCAAGCCAAATTAATCTTTGGTTTCCCAGTGCACATAAAAGTTATGTTCATATTATACTGTAGTCTATTACGTGTGCAATAGCATCACATCTTTAAAAAAACAGGACATACTGGGGCGCCTGGGTGGCTCAGTCGGTTAAGCATTCGACTTCGGCTCAGGTCATGATCTCATGGTTCATGAGTTCGAGCCCCACGTCGGGCTCTGTGCTGACAGCTCAGAGCCTGAAGCCTGCTTTGGATTCCATGTCTCCCTCTCTCTCTCTGCCCCTCCCCTGCTTGTCTCTCCCAAAAATACTATACATATCTCTCCCAAAAATACTATACACTATCTCTCCCAAAAATAAACATTAAAAAAATAAATAAATAAATTTAAAGTACCAGTCTCAGGGGTGCCTGGGTAGCTCAGTTGATGGAGCCTCCAACTCCTAGTTTCAGCTCGGGTTATGATCTGAAGGTTCGTGAGTTCGAGCCCTGTATCAGGCTCTACACTGGTGGTGTGGGCCTGCTTAGGATTCTGTCCTTCTCTGTCCCTACCCCATACTTGCTCGTTCGCTCTCTCTCAAAATAAATAAACTTTTAAAAAGTACATATCTTAATTAAAACATACTTTATTGCTGAAAAGTGCTATCACCTGAGCTTTCAGCAAGTCATAATCATTCTGCTGGTCGAGGGCCTTGCCCCCCGTGATGGCTGCTGATGGATCAGGCTGGTGGTGGCTGAAGGCTGGGGTGGCTGTGGCAATTTCTTAGAATAAGACAGGACAACAGTGAAATTTTACATCAACTGAATCTTCCTTTCATGAGATTTCTCTGTAGCCTGTAATGCTGTTTGATAGTATTTTAACCATGGTAGAACTTCTCTGAAAACTGGATTCGATCTTCTCAAAGACTAAATCCTTAGCTCTATCAACTAAGTCTGCGTAATATTCTAAATCTTTGTCATTTCAACAGTCTTCACTGCATCTTCACCAGCGATAGTAGGTTCTATCTTAAGAAACTACTTTGCTCATCCTGAAGAAGCAGCTCCCGATCCACTAAAGTTTGATCGTGAGTGGCAGCAACCCCCTCACGTCCTCAGACTCCACTTCCAGTTCTAGTTCTCTGCTGTTTCCACCACATTTGCACTTATTCCCTCCACAGAAGTTCGGAACCCCTCAGTGTCATCCATGAGGGTGGGAACCAACGTCTTCCAAACTCTTGTCCATAGTGATACTTTTTGACCTCTTCCCATGAGTCATGAATGTTCTTAATGGCATCTAGAATGGCGCCTCCTTTCCAGAAAGGTTTCTAATTTACTCACCCAGATCCATCACAGGAATCACTGTTTGGCCGCTGCGGTCTTGTGAAAAGAACTGCTTAAATAATAAGACTTGAGGGGCGCCTGGGTGGCTCAGTCGGTTAAGCGTCCGACTTTGGCTCACATCATGAACTCACGGTTTCGTGGGTTCAAGCCCCACATCCGGCTCTGTGCTGACAGCTAGCTCAGAGCCTGGAGCCTGCTTCAGATTCTGTATCTCCCTCTCTCTCTGACCCTCCCCTGCTCATGCTGTCTCTCTCTCAGAAATAAATAAAAAAACACTAAAAAATTTTTTAAAATAAATAAATAATAAGACTTGAACATCAAAATTACTCCTTGACCCACGGGCTGCAGAATGGATGTTGTGTTAGCCGGTGTGCAAACATTAATCTCGTACCTCTCCATCAGAGTTCTTGGGTGACCCACATGCATTGTCAATGAGCAGTAATATTTTGAAAGGAACCTTTTTCCTGAGCACTGAATTGATCTCAACAATGGGCTTAAAATATTCAGTAAACCAAGTTGTAAAAAGATGTGCTGTCATCCAGGCTTTGTTCCATTTCAAGAACACAGGCTCAGGAGATTTAGTGTAATTCTTAAGGGCCCTAGGATTTTTGGAATAGTAAATGAGCACCGGCTTCAATTTAGAGTCACTAGCTGCATTAGCCCCTAACCAGTCAGCCTATCCTTTTGAAGCTTTGAACCCAGCTGTTGACTTCTCTCCAGCTATGAAAGTCCTAGACGTATCTTCTTCCGATAGAAGCCTGTTTTATCTATATTGAAAATGTGTTATTCAGTGTCGCGACTTACGTTAATGACCTTAACTGGGCCTGCTGGAGGACTTGCTACAGCTTCTACATCAACACTTTGCAATTTTTTTTATTATGCAGATGGCTTCTTTCCTTAAACCTCATGACCAACCTCTGCTGGCTTCAAACTTTTCTTCTGCAGCTTCCTCATCTCTTTCGGCCTCCAGGGAATTGAAGAGAGTCAGAGCCTTGCTCTGGATTAGGCTTTGGCTTAAGGGAATCTTGTGGCTGGTCTGATCTTCTCTCCAGATCATTAAAACTTTCTGCATGTCAGCAATAAGGTTGTTTTGCTTTGTCCACTGGATTGCACTTTTGGTTTCCTTTAAGAACTGTTCCTTTGCACTCACACCTTGGCTAACTGTTTGGTGCAAAAGGCCCAGCTTTGAGCCTCTCTTGGCTTTCGACATGCCTTCCTCACCAAACTTGATAATTTCCAGCTTTTGATTTAAAGTGAGAGGCATGTGACACTTCCTTTCACTTGAGCACCAACAGGCCCTGGCAGGATCATTAATTGGCCTGATGTCCGATACTGCTGTGTCGCAGGGGATGGGGATGCGTGAGGAGAGCGACTAGCAGTCTGATTCCCGGCCCCTCCCCACTGCTCTGCCCTGAGGTCACCTCTCATTTCCCTTGTAGCTACACTGTGTCCTGGCCTTTATCCCTGTGTTCCCCAGGTGCCAAGGTAGAGCTGGGCTGCGTGCAACAGACAAAACAATGTCTCCCAGGGTGGAGTCTTTCAAAACCAGTTCTGTGAGATGCAAATAAATGCTAGATTTTGGAAAGAGAGAGAGAGAGCAAGAGAGCAGGGGAGGGGCAAAGGGAGAGAAGGAAAGAGAAAATTCCAAGCGGACTCTGAGCTGTCAGCACCTAGCCTGACGAGGGGCTTGATCTTACAACCATAAGATCATGACCTGAGCTCAAGTTAAGAGCCAGAGGCTCAACGGGCTGAGCCACGCCGGGCGCCCCCACACTGGACTTCTCTACCTTAGGGTGTCTCATGACCTCCATATTGACTCATTTTTTCCCCTCCTTCTTCTCCAACATCCCGCCTTTCTCGTCTAAGTAGCCAGAGATCTGAGTTGCCAGGGCTGGTTTGGGCGCCCGGCCCAGGTAAGGACAGCCACCTCGCCTGCTCAGAGCCGCTGTGTCCAAGCCTTCCTGAGGCCGGCTCGCAGAGGTAAGCAAGGGGGCACTCCTGGGTATGCTCAGACCGAGTTCCTACTCAGTTCTAAAAGCCCGCGTAGGGGCGCCTGGGTGGCTTAGTCGGTTAAGCGTCCGACTTTCGCTTAGGTCATGATCTCGCAGTTCGTGGGTTCGAGCCCCGCGTCGGGCTCTGTGCTGACTGCCAGCTCAGAGCCTGGAGCCTGCTTCAGTCTGTGACTCCCTCTCTCTCTGACTCTCCCCTGCTCACGCTGTCTCTCTCTCTCTCCTAGAAATAAATAAAAAAACATTAAAAAAAAAAATTTAAAAGCCCGCGTAGACCCCGGACGAGGCGCTGACCGTGACGGAACTGCGCCAGGCCTGGGCCGGCTGACGCTGGCCCGCAGGGCTTTGGGCCGCGCCACCTGCTTCCTGAAAGGGCCTCCGTCACCCGGGAAGGGACACATCAGGCCGGTTCCTTTGCGAGACGGGGTTCTTTGCTACCTGAGCCTCAACAGTGCTAAGTCTCCTGGATCGTGCCCTCGTCCCCGAGAGCCAGTCACCCGCAGAGACGGTCGGCCCTCTGCTCCGTTACTCGGGTTCCCTGAAGCGAGCACGGCCCCGGAGCGGGGGCCAGAGCAGACGCCCGGCGGTGGCGGGGACTCCTTACCTGTGCTCCGGGTGGCCCTGGCCGCGGGGAGAAGCAGCCACGGCTTCGCCTCCAGGTCCGTGGCACGCGCTCCCCTGCGACCCCGGGGCCTCCCCTGGGCCCCGGGCGGGGACAGAGCGAGCGCGAGCAGGACGATCGAGGCCAGCCAGGCGCCCGGCTTGGCGGGCCGCATGTCTGCGCCTGGAGGCTGCGGGGCGCGCGTCCCGAGGCAGGCGCGTGGGCGTCGGGGGCCGGGGGGCCGCGACCCGGGGCCGCGGCGGCGTCCTGTCCGGGCGGCGCTGGGACCGAGCCCGCGGGGCCGACACCTGCGCGCCTCGGGGTCCGCGACGCGGGGCGAGGCGGAGGCTGGGACCGCAGGACGGTCCGGGCGGGGAGCAAGGGCGAGTCCCAGCGCACGGGACTCGGCGACGAACGCGAGCCTCGGGCTGCGGGTCCCGGCTCCGCCGAGAAGGGCGAACAGAGCCGCGACTTCTAGGTCGGGACGGAAGGCGGCGGGGCCGGGGTGTCCGGGGCTGAACGGTGCGGGGCTCGCGGTGCAGCCGGGGGCCGGCTGTGCCCAGACGCGCGGGCTGGCGCGACCCGGCCGTGCAGGAGGCCCGACCTGCGGGAGGCGGGCGCTGCCCGGGCGCTAAGTCCCGGTCGGCCGGCGGCGGGGGCGGGGCTGACACCTGGGAGGTCCGGGCAGGGCCCGCCCCCGCCGCGCTCCGGGCTCCCTCCCGGGACTCCCCCGGGGTTCCCCGGGCGGGGTGCTCCCGCAGATGAAGTCATCGGGGTCCACCCGGGAGCCCAAGACCGCAGACGCCGAGATTTTCTTGTTAAGGTCAAGAGCTCTCCAAATGTTCTGTCGGTGCTAACAACACAAAGATGCGATTAAGTCCACTTGTTCTGATTAAAATCAGGTGGGCATCTCTGATCAAATTGTGCCGTGAAGCATCACTGTGGTTTTTAGCCCGATTTATTACTTGATATTAAGTCTATCGAGGAATGTTTCAGTCGCTCACTAAATGGTCGGTTGCCAATTCTCTTCTCGGGTGCAGGGTGGTCGGTAGTGTGAAGGGAGAAGGAAGGCACCGGCCAACGTTAAATTGTCCTACCGTGTTGGTCACAAACCCTGAAAAATAATCCCAACTAGACTTGGTATTTCCAGCCTCTCCCGGAAAGTGGGGAAACATACAGCAAGCTTTTCAAGGCCCCTACAATGGAACGTTATAGAGAAAGATGGTATACAGGTGACTCTCTTTACTGTTAATAATAGCATAAGAATCTGGTATTCCTGAAGGAAGCAAAATGGCATATGAGAACGGCTTCCACCATAGGAGACACAGAAAAGCAGTCTTGGGGGTGGAAATTATTAAGAGTCTCAGAAGGCCCTAGTTACGTAGAATAAGTTCTTCCTTACAGCTTTACTCTGGTGAAATGAGAAAACATTGAAAACAATGGAAGGGACATTGACAAGCATTTCAAAATTTATTATAATAGTAAGTTAGCCACCAGTTTGGAAAACAACAGGAAAGATAGAAGGTGAAATAATGCTGGTAGACGTGATATAGAAATAACCGTGAGAAATTAACTCAAAAGCAAATATTGGGGGAAGGAAAAAAACAAACAAACCTGGAAGCTAGATTATTTCACTTTCCATATACTGAAACTACCGGAAGTAATCAATCTGATGAACTTTCCAGAGCCTGACAGTTTGAGCTCTACTTTTTGTTCAGCCATTAGCCCTGTGACCTTGAGCAAACTGTCTCACCTTCATTTTGTGTCTGACAAAGTGAAAGATTGAATTTCAGTGGTTCTCAGACTGCAGGTAGCATGTGGAACAAGGATTCGCTGTGTGTCTGTGAAGACTGCAGGTTCTGATCCACCCCTCGGGGAGTTGGGGGGGTCACAGTTCCACCTTGGGGTGCCCAGTGAATCTGCCTTTGAAAGGACTCTGGGTAGTTTTCAAGTAATTGGGTCCTTGAAACCCACTTCTATTCGTTCAATAAAAATCATCTGAATGCAAACCCTAGGCCAGGCACAGTGCAAACACTGAAGCTACCTGCGTGGGCGAAATACGCAACATCTTCGTCTTTGTGAAATATCTAGCCTCAGGTTTCTGATTCCCCAGCATAATGGTTTTATCATCAATGAACAGGTTGGGAGCGCCTGGCAGGCTCAGTGGGTGGGGCATGGGACTTTGATCTCAGGGCTGAGTTTGAGCTCCACATTAGGTAGACAGATTACTTTTTTTAAAAATCTTTATAAATAAACAGGTTGTGTATAACTAAATTATCATTTGTTTTTTCTTTTTACGTTTATTGTTTATCCTTGGTTATTTCTTGTTATTGTCCCAATTTATGCTATTTTTGTAGGTTTTGTAGTACAGTTTGAAATCGGGGAGTGTGATGCCCCCAGCTTTGTTCTTCTTTCTCAAGATTGCTTTGGCTATTCAGGCTGTCAATCATTTTTATTTTATTTTATTTAAATAAAAATACCTATCTCTTGCTAATTAGTTCAGAAGCAGCTTTATGTGTTCATGTAGGTACTATCTCAGTAACATAGGCTAACTTATTTTTTTATTTTTTAAATGTTTTTATTTATTTTTGAGAGAGAGAGAGAGAGTGTGTGTGTGTGCGTGCGTGTGAGTGGGAGAGGGGCAAAGAGAGAGGGAGACACAGAATCTGAAGCAGACTCTAGGCTCTAAGCTGCCAGCAAAGAGCTCCGATGTGGAGCTTGAACCCACGAACTGAGATCATGCCCTGATCCAAAGCCGGATGCTTAACTGACTGAGCCACGCAGGCACCCCACTAAATTATTTTTTAGTAGACTTTTTAAAGAGCAGTTTCAGATTCACAGCAAAATTGAGAAGATACACACACATATTTCAGATAATTCTTGTCCCCTGCCTTCCCCCCTCCCCCACATAGCCTCCTCCATGATCAATGCCCCTTACAGGAGTGGTATTGCTTATCACTGATGAACCTACACTGATAGATCATTATCACCCAGAGTGCTTGGTTTACATTAATGTTCACTCTTGGTGCTATATGTTCTGTGGGTGGGACAAATGTATTATGACATGTGTCTACCATTCTAGTATTATATGGAGTAGTTTCACTGCCCTAAAAATCCTCTTGGTCTATCTATCCATCCCTCCTTCTCCCACGACCAACGCTGCAACCGCTCATCTTTATCCTGTCTCCATCATTTTGCCTTTTCCAGAATATCATATAGTTGGGATCATATAATATGTAGCATTTTCAGTTCCACTCTTTCCAAATTCCAGTGATAGAATACGGTGGTATGATCCATATTCACTATGTTATACATTAAATCCTCAGACTTCATCTTGTAGCTGAAAGTTTGTGCCCTTTTTACCAACCTTTCCCTATTTCCCTCACCCCCAGTCCCTGGCAACCAGTTTTCTACTCTGTTTCTGTGAATGACTTTCTTTTCTTTCTTTTTTTTTTTTTTAATCCACACATACATGATATCCTACAGTATTTGTCTTTCTCTGCCTGGCCTATTTCATTTAGCATCATGCCATCAATGACCATCCATGTCATCACTAACAGCAGAACTCCTCTCTTTCTCGAAGATGAATAAAGTCCATTGTGTATGCCTTCTTTATCCATTCACCTGTTGCTGGACACTTAAGACGTTTCCATATGTTGGCTTTTGTGAATAATGCTACAGTGAATATGGGAATGCAGATACCTCTTCAATATCCTGTTTTAATTTCCTTTGGAAATATACCCAGAAGTGAGATTGCCGGATCATGGGGTAGTTCTATTTTCCACCATGGCTGCAACAATTTACATGCCCATCAACAGGGCACAAAGGCTCCCTTTTCTCCACATCCTCATCAACACTTATCTCTTGTCTTTTTGATCAGAGCCATACTAGCAGGTATGAAGTGACATCTCATTATGGTTTTGATTTGCATTTGCCTGAAGATTGGTAACTGTGATGTTGAGCATCTTTTCAATTGGCCATGTATATATCTTCTTGGGAAAAAATAATCTCTTCAGTTTCTCTGCTCACTTTTTAATCGTGTTTTGTTGTGTTTTATTTTGTTACTGAATTGTGTACATACTTTATATATTTTGGATATTAACCCCTATCAGATGTATTATTTGCCAATATTTTCTCCCATTCAGTAGATTGCCTTTTCATTCTGTCAATAGTTTCTTCAGTAGTGCAGAAGCTTTCTAGTTTGATATAGTTCTACTTGTTTATTTTTGCTGTTGTTGCCTTTCCTTTGATGTCAAATCTAAAAACTCATTGCCAAGACCGATGTCAAGGAGGCTTTTTCCTATGTGTTCTTCTATGAGTTTTATGGTTTCAAGTCTTACGTTCAAGTCTTTAATCTATTTTGTGGTGGAAGGTAGGGGTCCAGTTTCGTTCTTTTGCCTGTGGCTGTCCAGTTTTCCCAACACCATTTGTTTGAGGAGACTGTCCCTTCCTTCCTGTAGATTCTTGGCTCCTTTGTCATAAATTAATTGACCATATATTATTAATGATTATTTCTGGGCTCTCTATTCTGTTCCACTGATCCATGTGTGTGTTTGTACCAATACCATACTGTGTTAATTACCATAGGTTTTGTAGTACAGTTTGAAATCAGGGAGTGTGATGCCCCCAGCTTTGTTCTTCTTTCTCAAGAGTGCTTTGGCTATTCAGGCTGTCAATCATTTTTATTTTATTTTATTTAAATAAATCTTTTAAATTTTGTTTTTAATTTTTGAGAAATAGAGAGACAGAGCATGAGCTGGGGAAGGGCAGAGACAGAGTGAGACACAGAATCTGAAGCAAGCTCCAGGCTCTGAGCTTCTGAGCTCTCATCACAGAGCCTGACACAGGGCTCAAACTTGTGAACTGCGAGATCATGACCTGAGCCAAAGTTGGATGCTCATCCAAGTGAGCCACATAGGCACCCCTTTAGAGAAAAAATGTTGATTTATTTATTTTGAGAGAGAGAGAATGAGCAGGGGAGGGACAGAAGGAGAGGGAGAGAGAGGGAGAAAGAATCCCAAGCAGGCTCTGCACTGTTGGTGTGGGGTTTGAACTCATGAACTGTGAGATCACAATCTGAACAGAAATCCAGAGTCAGAAGCCTAACTGACTGAGCCACCCAGGAGTCCCTGGGTGCCCCATTTTTAAAACATAGAATTTTAAAAAGCACAAAAAATGAAAAACCCATTGCGACCCTCCCCCAAAATTATTGATAATATAAACTTAATTTTTAAGAGATTATCATCTTTATACATATTTTGTATCTTCTTGGCTAACGAGGTTACTTTTCTTGTCTAAGGGTAATAGAAGTCCTATTTCAGGTCAGCTGAAATTACTGATCCAGGATTATCTGTTAGAAATTTAGAACCTGGGTGCCTAGGCAGCTCTCTCTTTCTCTCAAAATAAATAAACATTTAAAAAAATTTTTAAAAATTTAAAACCTCAAGTCAAAGTGTGAATTTGAGGAACAGGTAAAGACTATAACACAGAAAATCAGGAGAACATCCAAGACAATTGACCTGTGCCAACAGGGTTATGGTGCCAAGCCCCTTTATATAGTAATAAAAGCTTCCAGCCCATTTCTCTCTAGAACTGGATGTATTACATTTCACTCTT